GTGTGTGTGTGTGTGTGTGTGTGTGTGTGTGACAGAGAGACAGAGAGGATTATGCTTGCTGGAAGAGAGAGAGAGAGAGAGAGAGAGAGAGAACCACGCTTGCTCGAAGAGGCTCAAACAGGCACAATCTCAGGGCAGGAAAAGGCTCTCTTGGGTCCTTGTAACGTTGACAGGAAGCCACCAGGGGTGCACTTATAAGTTGGTCCCCTGATGCACTGAAGACAGCTAGCACCCACACGCGCTTTCCCAGAACGATTATCTTGTTGTCGTTGTCAGTGGGTGCCCACTGACGGCCAACCGGGGCCCAGCCTGGCCCTTCCAGCAGCCAGCCTTTGGCTGTGGCTGCCTCTCCCTCCTCCCTAGCCTACTAGTCTGGGAGCTCTGCTGAGACGGTGAGCCATGAGTGACCCGGCCACCTCAGCAGGGCATGTCCGCAGACGGACAGTGGACATATGGGCCTTGGGGAGCGCACAGACCTGATGGTGCCAGTCGGGGAGGGCACGGGGCTGACCATGCTTCGGAGGTCAGGCTCCGGGATGTGGATCTTGAGCGGGGAGATCTGTGGGTACAGTGGGCGGAGTGGGGATGCTGGGGCGCCCTCCTTGTGGAACAGCGACGTAAACTGGATCTTGATGGCCGTGCTGGGGAACCGGAAGGTGCACCTGCGTAGGAAGGAGGAAGAGGGGGTTGGGTCGGCACAGAGTCAGCATGGGCAGCGAGGCAGAAGGCCGGGCGCCATTAGGGAAGATTCCAGGGCACTCTGGGACTCCCACGGGCTAGAAATCCTCCTCCACTATACTCGGGCATCCCAACGGCCACCAGGGGTGCCACACTGACACATGGCTACCCCTGTCCCGTGTTGCTTTTCCACCGCCAACGAGGACCCACAGCAGAGATGCGTGGCACACAACCACAGTCAGCTGCTGGCCCTAGAACCACCCGCTCAGTGTGTCTACTGTCTGAGGACAGGAGGGCAGACAGGACTGCCACCGCCCCACCCCTGTCACTAGCCCGAGAGGACGCAGGTGACAAAGAGGTCACAAACATGACCATCGGAAATCCTGGGGGTGGGGGGAGGTCCTGCTGTCGACTGGGCAGCAGTAGGTTTAGTTTAACCACCTGTCGGCAGAGCCACTGTCACCCAGGGCCACCACCGAGTTAGAATTCACGCTCGGCACCCGGCAACGATGGCAGTGACAGGAACAATTCATTTCTGCCCCCGCCCCTCCCACCAGGCCTGGTCCCCGCACCCCCACAACTCTCTGGGACCCTGGAAACCAAGCCTGGAAAGTGGGGACTCCCACAGCCCCAGCCGTGGGGGAGGAGGCAGCTGTAGAAGCTCCTAGGCAGGGGACCAGGGCCATGAAAGCAGGCTTGTCTGTCAAATGCTGTGAGCCCCAATCCCGTAACAGCCAGCAACCAGGCGTGTTTTCCTGCAGAAACATGGCTGGTATGGAGTTTTTGGAAGGGCCCCTGAGGAAGCAGCAGTGAAGGGCGGTTGACCAACACTGGCTGGCAGCCCGAAGCTGGTGGGGTCTTCAAATGGCTGTGTCCCCTCAGATTCTAGCCTACCAGGAGAGCACCCTACATTTGGGGGGAGCCTCCCATGCGGTACTCTGGGCTCCTGGGGTAGGGCCCCACAGCAGGTACCTGGGACCTAGCAGGGTGTGGCTAACGCCCATGGGTTGACTAAGGGCATGGGCTTGAAGCCCTTGGAGAACAGACTGGGCTGCTAACCCAGAGGCCGGCAGTTCCATTCCACCTGAGGCCCCTGGGAAGAATGGGGTGAAAAAAAGGAGAAAGGGGTGGCTATCCACTTCTGAGCAGCAGCCACTGGGGACCCGGGGGGCATGGGGCAGGGAGCTGCTCCCACCCCTGGGGCTCGGGCACCAGCCTGGTAGACGACAGGTGGGCCAGTACCCTCCGAGCAGCAGCACTGGCCGTGGGAGACCAAGAAGGTGCAAGTGGCAGTGTGGCCAGGGCCCTCCCTGCAAAACACCCTTCAGCCCCATCACCGTGCCCACTCAAGGCTCAAGACTCGGGAGTGGGGAGTGCCGAGTCCTGGTGGCGCAGTGGTCAAAGCACACGCTAGAAACCCACAGGTGGCACCCTAAACGCAGCAGCAGTTCTGCACATACCCCACCCCGTTAGATGTTCACTTTCACCTCGGACAACCGCCGCGGGGTGCCGCCTCGTCCCCAGAGCTACACTTCCTCAGGACCACAGATCTGACCTCGGGAGTTTGGGAGGGGGAGGGGGCGCGTCAGGTTGGCTGCAGGGATGCGCATGGCCACGCCGGCTTTCAGCGCCAACACAGGAGGGGACACACCCCACTTTAGAACTACCCTCAAAACCGGGATCAACGTGCAGCTTGACCAGGGGCAATGCCCACTGATCACCTGGACACACTGGGGAGGGACACACGCACCCTGACTCTCCCCTGCCCTGCCCGGGGAGCAGGGTGGAACTGCCCCAGGTTCTTCCAGAAAGCCACCTGGCGGTGCTGCTGGGCAGCAGCCTGGGGGTCAAACCCGGCAGCTGCTTCCCGGGAGGGCGATGAAACAGCTGACAGGGTGGGCGTGGAGGGCATCCAGGCCAGAGGCCCGCCCTCGGGGGCAGCGCCGGCTCGTGGACACGGTGGTCAGAGGCAGCGTTTTGTGAGCCCCTTGTGTTTGCCTCAGTTGAGCAAACGTGCGTGCGTGCGTGCGGATCCACAGCGGGCAGTGGCGACGGGCCCACGGGCCGCACGCAGTAGGCGCCGTCTCTCTATCAACGCACGGAAGAGGCCCGCCCCGAGCCCAGCCCGCGCACGCGCAGACCGCCTCCGACGGGGCGGGGCCCAGCGCGTCACTTCCGGGACTCTCGCCTCCTCGAGGGGGGCCGGGAGGGGCGCCCCGCCCGCCGGAAGTGGCTCTGTGCGCGCGCGCCGCCGCCCCCAGCAGCGCGACAGGGCCCTCGGCCTCCGGCGGGGCGTGCTCGCCGCGGGGCCCCTGCGCCCTCAGCGGGGGGCCGAGGGGCGCTCTCACGGAGCGATGGTGGCTCGTCGGTTAAGCGCTCGCTGTCAACCGGGCAGAAAGCTGAGGGAGGCGCCTGCGTCCTTACAGACCGCCGGCCCGCGGCCAACACCGCGAGGCGGGTCCTGACGAGGCCCGGCAGCGAGGCAGACCCCGACCCGGACGCTGCGTGAGCAGCCCGGGGAGGGGCCCGGGGGCCCATCCAGAACCACCTCCTGATTCCGGGTGGATGGCCAAGGGCCGCCTCGGCGGCAGAGACCAGCTAGGGGGACGCCCTGGATGTGCGCGTGGCCGGGGTGATTGGGAGAGGTGTTAGGGCCCTCACCTCTCCTCCCACCGTGGCCTAGGCAGTCACCGGGGCCAAGGATGTCCCTTGAGGAACAGCGAGGCGGATCACAGAAGTGGCCTGACCTGTGACCCATGTGGACCCTCGGGCCAGCTCTGCACCCTGACCGAGAGCTGCACTCAGCACTCACAGAATGCACACAAGACCTCGGCACACAACACCCACATCTGGGATGCTTTACACGACAGCAGCCCCCCCCCCCACACACACACTTCCCAAACCCCTCACCCTACACACACACACACACACACACACCCTCATGTCTTACACACACGCACCCTCATGTCTTTCACATAACAGACCACACACACAAAACCTCAAGCCCTTTACCCAACCAACTCCACACAGCCGTAGGTCCTGGAAAGCAAACCTGCTGGGCTTTAAAAGGACAGCCGCCACCCCGCTCCTGAAGGAGGGGCAGTCAGGCTGTGGAGCAGACACTGAGCTGCCGGGAGCACCAGCCACCATCCTGCCACGCTACCACCGAGCAGCAGAAAATGCCCCAGGACATGGCCCCGAGCCAAAGTGCTTCCTGCCAGCCCACACCGCCAGAGGCCAGGCCGAGTGGGTGTCTGGAGCCCTAGTGATGCAGGGCCCCATCGCATGGCAGCTGCAGGGGCCAGAGGGCGGGCCTGCTCTCCTTCAGTGTCTTCAGGACATGATCACCAATAGGATCTTTCCCCAACACTTGGGTCACTCTGGAGCAAGGAAGGCCGTGCCAGGCCCTCACCGCCAGCTCTGTGACACACAGGGACCGCCACCTCCAGGGATTGTGTGAGGGACCCTTCCCACCGGTCTTTGCAGTGTGGACGGACAGGTTGCTAGGCTGGCCACTGGTGGAAGGATGGAGGAGGCAGGTCACCAACCCCAAGACCAGGCTCTGGGCTGGGGGGCTGCACTCTGCTCCCATAACCCCCCACGGGGCAGCTCTGCTGTTAGGGGAAACGCGAGTGGGATTGAGTGGGGCACCCCAGGACAAACATGCTTGAAGAGTGGTCAGAAATGAACCTCAGAAATGAGGTTCACACCCTTTCTCTAACAGATGAAGACACTGATGCCCACAGGGACCAAGTGGCCACCAGGGCCACTGAACAGCTGGGCCCAGGGGCAGCTTAAGGCCTGGAGCCCCCTTCCCCAGCCCCTTCACCCAGAGCCGTGCTGTACCACAGACAGACAGGCAGCCAGGCAATCAGCCAGAATGAATGCACAAGCTCAGAGCTTAATATAAACCCAGGTTCTCCTTGTGTTGAGCCCTACACAGCCAGGCCAACACGTCCCTCACAGGGATGGTCTAAACACACAGGTCTCAGGTTGATGCCAACTGCCCGAGTGGGCCAGGTGGGCACTCACTAGGTGACCTCGTTCTCTCAGTGTCAGGAAGGCCCCGCCTGGGGCAACCTCAACAGGTCACCATAGGTGTCTTCAGGGAAGCCCTCCACGAGATCCTGTGATCTGTTCGGAGATCTCCAAGGAGCTTTTATCTGGATGGAGCCAGGGCAAGATTTGCCTAAGACGTGGACAGGACGGGGTCTCTGGCAGGGGGTGACCCTCTCTGCAGGCCACCCGGGAAGGGCTGGGGAGACAAGGGGCTCTCAGACTACCTGGAGACCACCCCCTCCAGCCTGAGTAGGATTCATATTATTAGGCAACAGCAGCAGCAGCAGCAGCAGCGAGCCACAGCCTCCCCCCCACCAAGTCTGTCCAGGGCCCACAAACAGTCCCCCGGAGTAAACCCCACATGTGCGCTACAGCCCCAAACCTTAAATGACCAGAACAGGCGCTGTGCACCTCCACCCACAGGCACCCTGGCGTGCACACAGCATGTCAAGGGGTGCGAGTGGAAATCAGGGGTGGGGGGCACCCGTACCGGATGCCAGGAGTGCAGGTGGCATGACTGGGCGCATAGGCGCAGAGAAACGTGATGCGATCCGTGGTTCTTGAGGACGCAATGGAATTCGGTGGAGAAGAGACCCACCCTCTTATTACTTCCCTAATTTTTGAGACAGGGACGCAGGAGCTGCCTGCCTGTGGAGGGAGGGGGAGGGGAGGGAAGGGTGGCCATAGGGAGTTCTCACCACACACCTGTTCAGAGTTGGCCCCTCTCTGGTTTGGGGTGTGCAGTGCTAGGTGAGCACCCTGCTTCTGGAAGGCAGCGTGAGTTGTATGGCAGGGGTGGATGCTGGATTGGAGCTGGGACCCGGGTGTGCCTGGCTGGGGGCCGAGGTGCCTTCACCCTCAAAGCCAAGACTAGGCTAGGGTGAGACGGTCTGGCCTTTCCTGGCACCCGTGTGTGGAGGTGACA